AGAGAGAGAGAGAGAGAGAGAGAGAGAGAGAGAGAGAGAGAGAGAGATTGCTCTCGGAATACCAACAATCCTCGTTCCACCAATCAAGTTCCACCGTCCATCCGAAAGCATCGATGCAGACGTCATTATCAACCCTCCGGATAAACGATTCTTGGCTCGTCTCTGACAGCCTCTCGCATCGTCTGCCGTGCAACGTGGAGAGCACCTATATACCCGTCGAGTAAAAACCGTGGCTTTGAGAGGATAGGCGGGCGGAAAGGCGGGCGGAAAGGGAGAAAGAAGAAGCGCGTGCGAAACGGGCGCGGAGGAAGAGAAAGGAAAGAAAAGAGAAAAGAAAAAGGTAAAAAAATACACGTGCACTCGGCCGTGATCGTCTCTCTCTCCTTTGTATCTACGCCCGGTTAATGCGAGCCGAAGTGTTCCGAGTCAAAGCGCAAACACAACCCGACAAAGCCGACTCTGTTCAACCGCTCGTCCTTCCTCCTCGGCCGAACTCCTTTCTCCTCTTCGCTTTTACACCAGAAACCGCTCTCTCTCTCTCTCTCGCTCGCTCTTTCCAGTCAAAGAGGATGAAGGGTATCGTCCCGAGAGCGGAACGCACTTGATTTCCACTCGACTCGATCCACGCCCAGAACTTTGAACCCGTTCGACTCGATCCGTCCAGGGAGAGAGAGAAAGAGAGAAAGAGGGAGAGATGCGCCTTCGAGTATGTGCCTCTCCTCTCCTCTCGTGTGCCAGTACCACGAGAGCGTCGAGTATAACCGCCGGTTAATTAACAATCGTGATGGAAATTGGGATAGATGTATCTCCACCTAGTTCCAAAATCCTTTACTTCGCTTTCCAACCCCTCGATTCGAATCGGTGGTGGTTTGAAACACTCGGTGGTAGGTCTCTCTGTTCGCAAGAGGGCGAAAATCGCCAACACTCGAAACGTACAATTACAATTTTCGCGCTTTTATGGTTCTCCACCCCGTCCACGGGGTTCAATTTCGGTTGACGGGAACGAGTTCGAGGCGAAGCGGAGTTTAAGTGGTCGAGGATCGTTGTAGGAGTTGCGGATGTCGTTTGGAGAGGTACGGTGGATGACACCTCGTATCAACAATCTTCGTTCTTTCGATTCCTTTTCCCCAAATTTCGCTCCTCCCCCTCCTTTCGAAATTTTCACGCTCTCCAATTTTTCTTATTTTTTCTCTTACCTTCGATTTCAAGAAGAATCTCGAAGCGAAAGTTTCTCCCTCGTGAATTTCCGTGCACGAAAACGGCGCAACGACGCGCAACCTATTAAAATTCCGAGTGGCCGTTCATCCTCGATATTCCCGACGAGATCCCGCCTCACCTCCGCGGATCGAATAAAATTCCAGCCTCGTTCTGTCGCTGGTGTAATCGTTTCGGCGTTTACACCACGGGACGGGGAATTAATATTGCGTTTCGATCGCGGGAATAAAATACGGACGGCGGGTCAACACCGACCTCGACCTCAGAGTACTACTACCACTACCACCACCTTGTTTTCGAGGAGAAAGGTGGACGAGTGGAAAGATTGACTGACTGACCGCCTACGGACGTATCAAAGATCATCGGGGCTTGGATGGATTTTCACCGGGATTAAAGATCAATTAATCGTGCGTGATCGATGGCCACCGTTGTTCCGTTCAAAGGTCACTCTCGCTAACGAATCCGACAATTAGTTTACGTGTTTAATCCTTGAGGGGGGGAAGAGGAGGCAACCGAATTAAGTTGCCGCGAAATCGTGCATCGAATGGTATTTATTGTTTTTATCGGGCAAGATCGGTATTTACGATAAATCATCGTTACAAGAAGAGATTAAGACTCGCGACATGATCCCGGTGGAACATCAATTATTATAAAAGCGAGACAGAGAGGGAGATACTTGATTTTTGTGAGAGATCGATTAAACCGGATAACGAAGGGAATTATTCAACCGGCTGGGTAATTTCCATGTTAATCGATCGTGTTTCGTTATTTAATAGACTGGTGATTATCCGCGGTCCCTCAGCTCTTTAATTACCAGTCAAACTACAATTAATAACCAATTATTAGCTGGATATTGAAATTGAGTAATAAAATGTACGGAAGACAGTGCGCGCTTACAAGAGAGGTTGGTAATTTATACCGAATAATTCACGATCCGTGGATGAGATTTTTAATTACCTAATGGACGAACGATTTCGACGAGAGACTGCGTACAGCCATCCATCCTACAGAATGATATTACGAATACGCGATTCGTAGTTTCGTAAAAAAAAAGAAAGAAAGAAAAGAGGATGGGACAGGAAGAATGGAAGCTGCTGCGTGACCACTGTTCACGATCACGGTATGAAAACAGCTTTTGCATACGGCGACCAAATAAAGGAAGGCGGTTCTTCCGCCTGTGCGGATTGGCGAACGTGGTATTTGAGCCGAGTGGCGATAATTCAACCGGTGACTCGCGTGCCCGATAACACCGATAATTACGAAATATTACGGCCTCTTAATGGGCCGCTACTTTACAACCCGTGATTCCAAAGCTGTAGCAAATTTTTTTTCCGGCCGATAAAGCTAACGTTGAACCGCGTTTCATGGAGAACATTCGATTTTGATTTTGACCGAGTATTGCAAAAGGGTGGTATCGTGTTCGAGAAAGAGTCGAGTTGTTTCGGAACGTTGGATGGATGAAAGGGTAGAGAGAAGAAGAAGAAGAGGAAAATATGGGGTCGCGCGTGGAATGTTGGAAGGCCGATGTCGCGTGCGGTTCGGTATTGGGTTAATTGCGACGAAACCAACGACGCAGAAATATTCCTTAGAATTCATCGTTCCCTGGAAATCGATGGAATTCCGTCCGTTTCTGTTTTGCCACTCGTACGTTAAATTCGAGTTTTACGAAGCTAGTCGAAACGATTTAATTCGCTCTCGGCTTCAGAACTGGTCTGAATTCTTTACGCAGAAAAAATGAGGAGAGGGAACGAGAAGAATGAAACCAGTATATCGATAAAAATGAATTTTAATCAATTTATAATAGCTTTCGGAATGGAATAGTTGTGTAAGGAAAAAAAAAGTATCACCAAAGTAGCTAATCAAGGTGATCAACTTTGTCTCGGAAAAAAGAAGAAAAAGAGAGCAGATATTAATCTCTGTAACGGTGTTCGTGTTCCTTAGATACCTTCTTGCACGAGATAATAATAATTTTTCAAAGATAACGTTCAGGGCGTAAGTCATCGGATTTTTCGAAACGCAATTCGACTCGGTTGTCCGACCATGTCGCTCTTATTCCCCTTGCATCCTTAATCCGCGCGTAAAGGGTTCGATTTAACCCGATATTAGTCTCTCCTCGATGATTAATTCGCTCGATTAATTACGATCGATTAAGAGATCGAATGTAAACGTAGGAGCCATTTTCAACGATCGAACGAAACGAGCAATAAAAATCGTTGAGTGAAAATGCGCGAGTCGTTGTTCCCTTATCAGCAGGGACGATCGAATTCTCGGGAGAGCCGATTGAATCGTCCCGCCCCTCGATCGTGAAGGGGAATCGTGAATCAGTTGTCCCTCGACAAGCGGGACGTGGCGGTACGCAAAATTTGGCTCGGCTCCACGGATCGGTTTTCCTCGAATCGATCGATCGATCGACGAAGCGGAGTGAAAGCTCGACGAGGGGTTATCCGCTGGCCAGGGAAGAGGCGGGCGTTTGCGTGCTCGTAATCGGAACCCGCGCACGCTCGGATCTCGAACGCTCGAGGCGATTCGTTTCGCGCATACAAGTTTGCGGGCCGTCCGCGATGATGCGGCGCGGCGGATCCGCTTATGGAGACGGGAGACGAAACAATTACACTCGATCAAAGTGGTCTAGAAAGCCGGTGAAACTTCTTCTTCCTCCCGTTTTCTCGTTTTCCTCCCGCCGTCTCTTCGCCGCGCGTTCGCTCGAGAAATGCCACTTGACTCGTGAATAATAATTTCGAGTGGAAGAAGAAAGTTTTTGTGCGAGAGGCTGAAGGGAACGGTTGAACAAGCGCTTCATTTAGACCGTCTAGACCTTATTGAAACTAACCAGTGAAGAGGTACTTATCCGCTAATTAAATTCGGTGAAAAAATGCAGGAAAAAAAAGAAAGGAGAAAAGAAGGAGAGAGAAGCATGGGAGCGAGATGGAGGGACACACTCGTCGCTCCTCGTTGTAATAACGAACGGTTGAAAGGAAAAGATTATTCGATTAATTCGATTAATTTCAATCTTTCCTCCCGATTGATTTCAGAGCGAGTTCGAGCCACAATGTCACGTGTTCCGGACGAAGCAGTTGCGCAAGCCGCGTCCGTGCCATTTGTGCCATCAGGCGGTGATCAAACAGGCATCGTGCTGCAGAGGTGAGTCGATAAGTTCATTCCCTACGTGGTAAGTTCGTGCTCCGTTGGCCTGAAAGGATTCGGTCGGTAGCTCTGTCACATCCGTGCACGGTAAAAAAGGTGTGGAAGAACCCCTTGCGGTAAAAATTGCGGAGGGAAATTTGAACGTTGATCGATTCGAGACGAGTATAAGAATAATAGATATCCGCCACGCGACGTTGTTCCAAATATTCTTCTTTTTCATCACGAATATCTCTCTTATTCGTTCCATTTCTTATACGATAAATACGTATTTCTTTATTTCTGAAATTATATCTTTCTCTATCTTTTTATTCTCCATTCTCCAGACTCTTTCGAAACTTTTAAATGTTAATTTTCGTTTTCACTATAATAGATCGTAGATCGCAATCACAATGTCGCACGTGTTATTTAAGATTTTTGTCTCGTTTTCAGTGTGCAAGTACATCTGCCACAAAACCTGCGAGGACAAGGTGAGTAAACATACATACGCAACACCAAACCTGACAAGATTTCAACCCGAACGAGGGGCAATTGGACGGTCCCCGGTGCATCGTTTCTCGCGAATTAGTCATACGCGATCAGGCAGCGTCTTCTCGGAAACTTTGCGACAGAGTGGATACCTGGAGAGCCCTTTGCACGTACACGAAGAGACTCTCCTGCCACGGTGCACGATTCTCCATCGTACTTCCTGGTGCTCGAACAAATCTCCCGTGCCTCCCCGCCCCCAACCCAACAACGTCCAACAAAACGTTCTTCTCGAACGAAGCTCTCCAACGAGCTCGAGCCCTCCGTCTATCAATAGCTATTTTTTTTTTTCAAAACCACGCGCGTCGCACAGCTCGTACGAAACCGGAAGCGATCAGAACGACGCCGTGAACGGAACAGATGCCCACTTAACGGATGCATCTTAATTCGAGCACCGTCGATCGATCGGAGGGCCCCTCGATCGATGAGATTTCTCGACTTCCTCGAAGCCCTCGTCTAGAGTCATGCGCGAGAATCGTGGCAGAACCGATTCTACCTGTGTGAAACGGACACGGTGTGGGTTCAGTCACCGGGCAGGGGGGCACGAGCCTTACCTTACTTACCTTACCTTCTTCGTATCTTGAAGTGCTCCTGTGTCACACTCGCTTGAACACACACGCGTCGAGGAACGCGGGATGGTAGGTTGGCCGTACACACACACACACATACACACGTACAGTTAAACGTACGCGGTCAGAAGAGGAACGGAAAGAACGGATGAACGGTGGGCAGCAGGCTGAGACGAGGCAGAGGAGAGCACGATTTCCTTCTGGAAAGTGGCGAGACGACGTTTGTTACGAGGCTTTTTCGCGGCGCAAAACGTTTCGTCGGCTCCGATCCCTTTGATACCTACGTATCTATTTCGACGAGACGGAGAGCTTCCATTACCGGTCGGCAATGGAATCGGTCCGGTTTGGGTGGGAAGGGAGAGAGGACTCGGAGGATCGGTGAAAGCGGAGGAAAGTTAACGTCTTCGTACGACGTTAACGTTTAACGCGCGATACATCGAGTGTTGGTCCCTCGCGCTTCGACTTTCGCCGAAAGCTTGTCACCCGGCCAATTAGGGGGGATCGGGACTGGTATGACATTTCGACCGTCGACATTTCGAGAGAGGAAGGTATTGAGGAGGGGGAAGGGTATTAAGTTTAATTAGCAGGATCGTTGGGGGACGGATTATTGGGACGATCGGCAACGCGGAAACCCAGCCTGTACTCGATTATCCAGTTGCGGATCGAGATAAAAAAGATTACAATTCCGGTCTAATTGGCGATTCGAGAGCTATTTCCACCGATATTAACGACTGTGACCATAAACGCTTAAACGATGGTAGATCCACGAACGGATACGAACGGAGGACGCCCTACCGGTTTATCGAATCGTCGATCGTCTTTTCCCGTGTTCCGCGATCGCAAGGGCCATCGAGAATTTTTAGGATTGTTAAATGTTTAGAGGCACGCTTATTCCCTTCTTTGAAGAAAGGTCTGAAAAGACAAGCGGTCTTCGCGCTCCTCGGAAGAATTGCGCGTTTCCTCTGAAAACGTTTTGAAATTCGAGGCTAGTCACGGCGTGTTACTTCACAGCGTGTTGTCACGTGGCCGCGTCATCTAGAAATTCTGTTCGCGGTATCGTGGAACATCAGCCTTCTTCTTATGACGGCATGATGTAATTTGTCGGGTTCTCGCGCTACCGAGAAACGCTCGTTTTTCTTTCATTCTTGAAACTGCTCGAAACAAACGTTGAAGCGAAATGTTCTTTGTTTTTTTCGAAACCTATCTCTCTCTCTCTCTCTCTCTCGTTCATATTTATTAACCCATCGGATATAAAAGCGCATGTTTGCGGAATACAATTATTTTTGAAGGCACAAGTAAGCAAGCAATCGTCCACGGTTTCCATGTAACGTTGCGACGCTACCGTATGTTCGACCAAGCCATACATCACGCCACCTATCTCGCAAGATACGCGTTGGTATGTGCTAGTAGAAGGTATTGATATCATCGTTTAGCCGGTAACGCTTTCCTCCTGGAATTCTCTTAGCCCTAGAGGGGGGAGAAGTTGAGAACCGCTAACGAACGAGCTAACGAACGACATCGTTCGTCGAATATGGAAAGGCCAGATGTTTCCTTGACATCGAAGGTCGCCTCCTCCTCTCTCTCTCTCTCTCTCTCATCCTCTTTCGCTCGTTAAATTCGCCGAAACTCGGACCCGTCCGAGTTATTTCACTCTATGAACTATCGCGAAACTTTCAAACACTATTAATCTCCCAAACATCGAAGCCTCTCCTCCCAATTCCTCCATCGGAGGATTGGAAAAGTTGTACCGGGTTTCTCGTTGTACCCGTTTATTTATGGCCGATCTCGATTGGCGCGCGTGAAAGAAGGATCAGTGTCAAGGATCGGTGAACAAAGTTTCGATCGTTGAACGTCCTTGCTTCGTGACGAGCGCTCGATCATCCTTGCGGCGAGGTTGGTAGCAAGCAGAAGAAAAAGAGGGAGGGGCACACAAGCGGCCCTTTTAGCGGATCGAGCTTCCTTCGAGCGGACACCGGTACGTAGTTTACTCGCAACGAGTCGCGGGGTGCATCGAC